GTAAAACATTGAGGTGTTGTATTGTAGTCACAAATTGCAACTGATATAATCTACTGTCATCTGTAAAATGATAACCTACTCTAAACAGGACAAGGGTTGTAGTTTGCTTTATGACTTAAACTGATCATAAAATGACTACATCACCAAAAGAAGCAGTCTTACCCTGTTTCCCCAATGCCAATCCAACCCACAACTAGGCACTTGTTCAGGGCCAAATGAGGGTAGTTTTGTCCTTTCCACATCAGTAAAGATATGGTTTCCATTCCCAGCGGTGCTGTTGTGTGGGACAAGTCACTGTCCCTTTTCATGTTCCCTCCTTCCTATTTCAAGAACAGGAATAGCCTTATAAACCTGTTTTTTTAAAAAAAGTATTCAGAGTATTCACAGCCATTAAAGAACTGCAGAGATGATAAGGTGTGTTTTAATTATTTTGCAAGTCATTCTTTACAAGGTTATACTAGAAGCATACAGCCAATTGGAAGAGGCACTTTGGCTCTGATTCAGTCTTTGTTGAGGCAAGCTGCCAAACATGCTTCAGTGCAAGCTGTATTGGACTGCACCAGTATTATGGAAAATGGCTTCTTTGACATTGTTAATACTATACTTAACATTACAGCAAGTGTTTTATAGGCTTTAGAATGGGATTTCAAATTCCGCATTGCTCCTAAAATCAGCAGAAGTAAAACAAACAGAAATGCCTGGAACACTCTCCTCAGAAGTGTAAGAATTTCCCTGACCCAAACCACAATTTCCATTGCAGCTGAAAGGAAATTTTTTGTTTCATTTAAGTGGCTACTCTGAGGAGAACTGAGCTGCAAGGAGGTATATTTTATGTGACACCTGATAAGCAAGATGAACAGAGGTGATCTATTGATAAAAGTCTTCAAACCAGACTGATCACAGTCCAGGGCAAATACTTTTCTAAAACAGACACACAAAAGGAAACTGATGAAAATAAAAGTATAAGTGATTACTGCCTGCTTTCTTAGTGTGATGTATTAATTCTTGTTTGCTACAGCATTGCCCAGCTGATCTAAAAAGTTGCATATCCAAGCAAAATTGAGCCCTAGATGTTAATGTAACCCTTTCCACACTGTGTTATGTGTATCACAAATATATGCTAGGCAATTTTGTAGCAATATTTGAAGTGGAACAAGGCCAGGAGCTGCTACCAAGAGCATTTTCAGCTTTAAAATGTTTGCAAAGCCTTGACCTTGTGCATTCTCTAAAATTACTATACAGATATAACAACCAAAAAGCTTGACATTTACTTATTTTAACAGTTTGGCTGAAAGTACTGTTTATTATAAAGTCATTAAGTATTTCTTTTGAACAAATTCCTCTTCTCACTTAAGTAACTTTGCATACAATTTCTTTACATCTACTAGAAGTGAGTTTAACATTTTATTTATTAACTTTGAAGTGAAACAGTTCAACTTCTAAACACAAGCCTGTAAAATTAACAATGGTTTCAATTGTCAAATGTCTTCTCCAAAGTGTTTTGTTTTGTTTTTTCAAATCCAGTTGTTTAACTTTCCCTATGAAAATGTACTAAGATAATAAGCTCTAGAAAAACAAAAAATTGCATATGCTAAGTAAAGATATGCTAGAGTCTAATCAGCTACAATGTGAGCAACTCTAGCCTAGGCAAGATACTGAAGCTCTGGGAAAGTTTCTGCTCTTGTTCCTAGAGTTGATGATTAGGACAGAGTTTTCGCCTCTCCTCAGTTATTTATCTGTCAGACTAGCTTAATTTGGTTTTGCTTCTCAGTTTCTGAAGACTAAGTGGAATGAGGTTCTATATACAATCCCAGACACATTCCTGGAATAAGATGAAAGTGAATGTGAAAACTTTTTAGAGTCTTATCAACAGTGACTTCCCATATTTATACTGTCATTTACAGGCTGCTAGCCCTTAGTAATAACTGGTGATTGATGAAAACAACCTTCCTGGTAAAAAACTTTGAGATCTCCCCAGAGGTTTACTTCCTGCATCCCAAGTCTATCTTCTCTCTATCCACAACAAATGTTACTTTAATTATTTTACCTGCAGCTGCTAGGGCAGAAAAATCAGGGGCAGAAAGAAGGGAGTAAGTAGAGAATGATGATTTTCTGCTGAAGAAAAATGACCCTGTTCTGTAGCAGCATTTTCCACTGGTTTCTGTAACACCAGCAGGGGGAGCAAGTTCAGTTTGGGGCTCTTCCCCGACTCTCTTGTCCCACAATGATGGTTGGCCTCTTACTGCGTATTCCTTACCACAGCAGCCTAAGACACAAAGAAAGGTGAACAGAGAATTGCGGAGGAAAGGGAGGAAAAGAAATAACAAGGGAAAAGGGAATTGTTCCTCTTGTGCTGGAAAGGGAGATGACAAACAGCTGGAGAGATAGGCGGGGGAAAGGGGAGAAATGTACATATACTTTCTGCTGCCAGGAACCAAAGATTTCCAAAATACTCAGCCACTGAAGACCCTTTCCTTCATGGAAACCAGAAGCACCCTCCTTTTTGTGACATCCACACCACATCCAGTAAAATCATTTATCAATACCTAAGTCATGTTAAAACTACAGTGAAGAGTACTGTAAAGTGAAATAAGAACAATTAACAGTGACATGCTTACTGAGATGTTTTTGGGTTTTATACAAGCCCAATCCATATATAATAATCCTACAGATATTCCTAAATTGTTATAAAGGTATACTACTTGGTAGTACCAAACCCCACAATACTTTACAGCCACTTGAACAAGACGACATTACTGTTCTGCCAATGGAGAGTACCTTTGGAAAAGATGCTAAGGCAGGCTCCTCTTACACTGTGATATTTTTTTTTTTATTGCAGCTGTGCCTAGAATGGGTATGTCATGCATGGCTGTCTGTTTGTTTTCAAACCGGTACAAATGAACCAGAATCTAGCATTATAGCCAGTGGACAATTGTTCCCTTTAGGCAAGCACGTACTAGAGAAAAACTTGGGACAGTTTTTCTCAGTTAGTGACCATGGTAACTGAATGAGCCAAAATACCAAACCCAGATTTGTGAATGCCCAGGTGACTGTGGTGCAGTGTCCACCTCCACTTGCAGGTCTGAGTACACCTCTCTGCTCATGTCAGCTCTCCAAACCAAAACTCCGTTTCTCACAGGACTAATATTCCTCAGCCTTATGTCCCCTGCCCTCCCCATAGAGTTTCTCCCCACTTCTATATATGAACTGCAATGGCAGGGCAATGTCCCTGAAATGCATCATATTGACATTTTTGAACAATGTAGACATTCAGTCTCCCTGTGGCCCAGTTACATCTCCAGGCATTACTGAGCACATTCAGTCATGTGCACATACAAGCTGGAACATCCTTGTGATCATGAGAACAGCACATGAAGATAGTTACCTGAAAGTGGCCTGTGTTTGAAAAAGAAAGGTAGCTCTTCTCAGACTTGTTGAAAGGTGAGTCAGACTGATCTAGCAGTGAGTCAGGCTGTGGCAGATGGAGGTTTCTCCCCCTGTCTGAATACTGCACCCTAATCGCAAGCCACTTGGTCATTTCAGTAGCAATGGATCACACCTTACATGTTGCAGCTGACAATCTTGCTAGCCTATTTAGTATCCAATAAACAGGTTTGCCTCAGTAGTTCATTCACACTGCACAGCACCACAGAGCAGTAGAAACACACTACAGCTTTGCAAATGGAGCTGAGGCTTGAGCTTTCCACTCCTCTGTCTACACCCATTCATACATTATCTTTTCTGTCATTGTAGGACTGCCTTTCCAGCTCCTCAGTTGGAGAACATTGGCTGAATAATTGTAAACAGATGAAAGCAAATTGGAGGGATTAGTCTTGAAAGGGTTCTACTCTAGCTTAAATAGAGACAGGCTCAAGGCCACTGCAGAATGAGTTTAGGTTGTAACAGGCCCGTTCAAGAAAGATGATGGAAGACTCCTTGGTTATACATGAAAACTTATGGTTAGGAAAGTGCTGGCCCTAATATTTGTGTGCAACATTACGTAGTTTTATGTTTCAGTAATTCAAAACAGCTCTAACTGTGATAAAAATAGCCTTGTGATTCTTCTTGCTATGTTTGCTTTTAATTTACAATCCAGCTCTGATATCCACCAAAAGAGATCCAAAAACTGGAGTACATCAACTACTGATACTCTGAACAGTCTCTTTAATAAGCACCAAACAATTTTAAGACACTGACACTTAAGAAAGCCATTAATTCTATAGGTTATACTTACACACCCAGAGGTGTAACTTCTTTATGTATAATCACTGTAAACAACTGATTTAAAACTTAGTAAGTCCATCTTGCAGGCTGCTGAAGAGGAAACAATAGAGATTTACCTAAGGTCAGAAATGCCAGGATGGAACTGCAAGCTGTTGAATGCTATGCTTCTAGCTGAACTGTATTTTGTCCTTTCTTATCATATTTATTCCTCTTTTACACAAGAATTAGAAAAGGATAATTTCAAGTTCTCTTTTTATCCCCCACCTAATCACACAGTGATGCTGAGATTTACAAACACAAGACAGACATCTGTGTGAATTTACTTCTGCTTCAGAAAGCTTTCCTTCTAAACGTCATTATGCTATTATGAAGAGAGAAGAAAATGTGGACCTGGGGCATGGACAGTGCTGGATTCCAAACTCAATGAAATCTGTTCTTGTAGATGTAGAAAAGATGCTGCAATAATGTAATGTGTTTCTTTCCTTCAGAGAACTGATACGCTGCAAGTTTACATTTTCATTATTTATTGATTTTAATACTTACTTTTCCCATCATTTACACAAAAATAAATATAAAATTTAGGAAAACATTATTGACATTATACAGCCAAATAAAGCAAGAACTTATTCTAGAAAGTGAGTATCTGTAATATTAGTTATTATAATAACTAATTTTCCTTTCAGGACATAGTTCTTTTGTCAGTCAAGCAATTGAGAAATTGATGGGAACTGCACCTTTACAACTGAGGACAGATTCTGGTGTACCAGTGATTTTAAGAGAAAACTGGACTTGGTTTGAATACCGCACTTCTAAAAAATTCTTTGATTTTATTTGTTTGTGATAATTTAGTGATTAACTAAAGTATGACTCTGTGTCTTCTATAAATAGAACATCATTATCAAGATACTCCAAAATTATATTTCCACCATTGTACAATGGATAGTCTTTATCAGATAGCCATGTTTCCAATGTGTGCTCGAATGGCAAAGCTTCTCCAGAGGCAGTATGGCATAATCTCAATTTCTGTAAGACAAATAGCATGGAAATTAACATCAAGATTTGCCTACATGAGATGCAAGAATTGGGGTGGGGGAGGGAAAAAAGGGTAAAAAAACCCCAAATCAAACCCTAACAAGCTGGAAAATGTTTGTTTGATTTACCTGGGATGTTGATTTGTTGTTGTCATTTTTAAGGCTTGCTAAGGAAGCTGCAAAATCTACTACTTTGCCAATACTCCACTTACTGCAAAAGAACATGGGCCTGCTTTTCTCTTTGTTCCCCTTCGGTAAAAATACTTGAAAGTAAATTCTTTCTGTCTAGAAAAACATGAAAAATAAATGAAAAATTATTCACAGAAGAAACACATAATTACAGTCATACACATCTAACAGTTTTTCAGTAGAGAACTTAAAATTCAACCCAAAAATTACCAACTGAAACTTGTTCTATTCCATCAGGACCAAGGCCCCATTTTACTGCACAATATAAATGAGATCATCAAGTCACATCCCCTTCAGCTGCAGGCATGTATATGATGGATAATAAGTTCAGAAAGGTGGAGAGAACATCTTTCGCCAGAGTCCCACAGCTAGACTGTTATATATAGACAGACATGAAAAGGTCTCTGCCCTGGGTTTACTAGACAATAATGACTACTCTGGGGAGAAAAAGGTGAGTTTAAATAAGCAGTGCTGGCTTTTGGCAGCAGTATAATGTCTCAAATTGGAATGCAAAGGCAGTTAAAACAGAACAATTCACCATACTAGAAATGCCTGCTTCACAAACCAATGTTCTGGTCACGGCCAGCTAATCCTTTATCCTGTTTTTCCTCCTTTTATGTACTAAATGCTCTTTCAGTATCTACTAGACTTCTTTAAGAAATTTCAAGAGTAACCTATGAGGGAGAGGTTTTGAATGGGATTGGGACAACCCCTTCTTCAGGTTTATTTCTTCTTGACATTCAACAGAAGACACAGAGTAAGTATGACTGGTATATTCATCAGTTCAGACTGCTCTTACTGAGTCCAAGCCAGACACTATCAAACCAGACAGTAGTCTTCTTTTTAAAGGATTTAATTATGCCTTCCCTAGAAAAATATGGAACCGCTCTTCCCCAGCTCTGTTCATAAAACTGAATCTGAATTTCAGCCTGCGCATTTTCCTCAGAACTTGAGTGCTCTCCACACACACACAAAAAATCTTTTAACATCGAGGAACATTACAAAGGGGCTGGGGAAGCAGGACCTGAATCTTGCTAAAATGTAAATGACCACAACTTGTAAAACAGCCAACACAATGGCCACCCTATTATGGACACATGCTAACCTCACTCAACTGCTGTCAGTGCCCCAGTACCTTCCTACAGTTGCTCCTCCAGTTCCAAGGATGATGAGACAGTCTCCTGCAGTTCACTGGAACTTAATTCACAAAACAGCTCATTCTACTGTTGCATCCCTAACTATGGGATACGCCTCCTGGAATTTCTGTGCCATATCCAAGAAAATACCAGTCAGTCAGGGACACAATAACTAACACTATTTTACAGCATGGCCCTCCTGTTTTGAGCTGGTCAGTGTCAAGAGGGGCAACTCATACCAGGTCTGACATCAAAAGAAGCAATCACCTGCAGAAAGCTAATCTCAACAAAGAGGTCAGAGAAAAGGTATTTCTAAGATAGTCTGATTTTCCTGATCATAGACTAAGAAAGGTCAGGAAGGACCTCTGGTGTCATGTGGTCCAAAACCATGCTCAAAGCAGGGGGAGCATTAAAGCTGGACCTAACTATAAAGGTAGATTGGGTTGCTCCAAGTCAGATACAATCAAGTTTTGAACATCCCAAAGATGCAGATTCCACAAATTTTCAGAGCAGCTTGTTCCAAAGTCTAACCACGCTCACTGTGATTTTTCTTCCTATTATCTAATTGGAATTTCACATGTTGCAGCTTGTGCACATTGCACCCTGTCCTTTTGCTGTGCAACTCCAAGAAAAATGTGTCAATCTTCTGTGTATAGTGATGAGAGAACTAATGTGTCTAAAAGGCATTCCAGAAACTTTCTCTTCAAAAAAATCTGTCATCAAACTGGAACAAACTGGGCAGAAGAAGGCTAGAAGGACCCTAGGAAGCAATTTAAATAGAGAAGTGCTGAAGGTTAACAAGCTTAATTTATCAGTGTTAGAATTATCGCTGTTCTAGATGATTAAACAATTAATATCCAAATGAGAAAATGAATAGTAAGAGAAATTAGCATACAGTAATTTGTGCTACACTTTTTAGAGCTTACTGGCTTTGGAATTAGGAAGCAAATTTTAAAATTTTCTTATATATATATAAAGGGTGGATTTTTTAAATTATGTTCCACAATATTTGAAATTAATCATTTTCCCTCCACCACATATTTATTAAAGTGGTACTATCTGTGAAGAATGCTACACGCAGGTCTTTGTATTATGAATTCTGCCTAAGCAGAGTTATCTAATTTCTAAGTGTAAAGTATAAAAAAGTATAAAAGAAGAAATTCATAAGAGTACTCAATAATGGAATAGCTGTAGTTGTTTTAAAAACAATAATTAAATGTACTCTGCTAAGGTAAGGCTTAACAATAAGACTATCACACAATGTTTTCAGTATTACAAAATCAGTATAACAGGCCTAAACTTTGTGTGTTCCAACATAACAATGTGCTGAAAAGTAATTTAAATGCAGTTCTTTTAAGAGGATGCGTAAGTACAGATCTAAAGTGCAACCCTAGATGAAAGAATCAAGGTGTTTCTAAACCCAACATAATCCTGATATGTGGAAATGACTTGAACACCAGGTTTGACTGGCCACAGTAGTGAAAAACAATAAGGAATCTGTGAAATGCTTTGAGAATCAAAGATATTAAAGGCTGAAAGAAACATAAAGCAACTGTCAAAACCCTTTTGCAACCCAAAGGCAGGAACAAGAGATCTCAGGCCCTTCATACCTCATCCAGAAATGTAATAAATGTCTATTAAACCCAAATAGCAGAAATAAGAATGGAGCTTTGTGGAACACAAAGCTCAGCTTCATATGAAACAGGTTCAATCTGACTGGTACAGAGCTGTGCAAGCTGTGTCCTGTCTGTGTCAGAAGCCTCTCAGAACCCCAGCAGGAAAACCCATCCTTTTGAGATGGGTTTGCCATGTGTGATTGGTACTCCCTGCTCCTGACCCCTGCTAATAAGGTTAGCATAATTAATGTCATTTTATAAGGCAAACGGACATTCTCTACGACTGAGCTGGTCACAAAGAAAGCTGCCTTTTCCCCCCACTCCAGATGGCCCTGAAGGTCTTGCACACCAGGCAGACTTCTTCTCCCCCTCCCTATTGGCCTCAAGGTCCTGGGGCGCCAGGCTGACTACTCCCCTCCTTACCGGCCTTGAAGGTCCCAGGCACCCGGCCAACCTGGTGGTGATGACCCCGTCACAGAACAGGGAAGCCTAGAAGCACACAGAGCACTGTTCATAAAATAAAGCAGTTACAAGCCCTAAGTGGGACTTGGACCAGAACTGCCGCTGGACTGCAAAACCCATGATCCCCTGCTGGCCAGGGACGCCTTCACTGTCTGCTTCTTCCAAGGACTGAGTGACTCATATTCTTTTACATGTTTCGAGCCTAGATGATGACTGTGATATTGACAGTGCAAGCCAAGTGTTAAGATTTGACCCAATCTGCAGAGGGTCCAGGTGATTAGGAACCATAAGCTAATCTGTGCTCTAAAATCCTGTGCTACGCTACTTACAAAATTGTGCTACACCAATTCTGATTATAAAAATCCTGTACTACTCTGATCATAAAATTCTATGCTATCCTGATCATCAAAGTCTGTTAAAATAATAAAGATTTAATTGTAACTACAACTTAGTGCCATCATCATTCTGCCAAGGATCCCCAAAACAACCTGTCTGTCCCTGTAGTGTCGGGTGACAGAATAAATTGGTGTAGTCGGCAGAATCCTTGGGTCAGAGTGATGATGACTGATTTCCCCGATAAATGGGACTCCTGGAGAAAGGGGTTTACAGAAAATAGATGGCAAGATCCCAAGTGGGACAAGAAGTGGGTAGAGGCAATAAGCCATATCCAAAAGCCGTATGGAATGAATTTAATAAATGGAAGGATATGTGTAAAGTGAAGAAGGACAGATGGAAGGAAGGAATGTGCTGGCTATTAGCCGCAGTATGGAAAATTAGGAACGAACAAGTTGAAAGGTTAGAAGAGGAAATTATAAAGTTGAAAGGTGAATTGTCAGCAAAGGATTTAGAAATAAGTATAACCCAATTAAAGGCTGATCGCAAGTCTGGAAAAAAGAATGTATCTTGAAAAACAATTAGTGCCACAAGTTATAGAAAAAGCAAGAAAACATACTGAAAACCTGTTAAAAGGTAGCAATATAGACCTCATAAAGATCTGTGTAGCTATGTATGATAGTGCCTGGGATGGAGACATTTGGGACAGCCCAGATGAATCTGATGAGGAAGTAATTGATTCTGTACCAAGACAACCCTTGACTAAAGAAGAAATCACTACTCATGACCCACAGGGGAACAATCCGCAGAGATGGGATACTACTAATGTTCGAGATTTTAATGTGGATTATTTGTGAAAAATTCAGGCAACGTACCAAAAATGACTTGGGCAGTCAATAGTTAAATGGTTGTGCCCCTCTGGCATGATAAAGCAGCAAGAGTAACTCTGTTTGCAGGAGAGGCAAGAGACTTAGATTTAGGTACTGGAATTTTTCTCACCCTCAGAGGGAATGTTGCTTGAACCTTATGGACCTTAGCTATTCAGTGGGCAAGAGGAGTCCATTATCAAGATCAGAGCAAGGAACCTGCAATTCCTTGGCAGGGTCCAGATGAATTGCAGGAAGCATAATTACAAGCGGCTATTATAACCTTATTACATTGAGCCAAAGCCCCGGGTGATGAACCTAGTCCTTGGGACATTGATTTGAGGTGTGATGGTAAAGGAGCTGTAGGGTCATGGAAATTAATCTTTAAGCAAATATGCCAGTGTTTATTTACAGAAATCCCTTCTTCACCAGTGCTCTCCGCAAATGCAAGAACTAAATCCTAACCCTCCCATATGAAGGGAGCAGCGCCAGGTCCTAACTCCCTCAGTCCCACCTGGAGGTCGAACAAGTGCCCCACATTGCCATCAGGCCAATTTAAATAAAGAATATAATACCATCAGGAGACTTCTCAATCAAACTGAAAGTGCGCGATCTGAGTGAAACAAGTTGTGGCATGCCTGCATAAATCAGGGGTACACTGGTGACTTGCTCCATGGTTTGCCTACCAAAAAACTACAATTGCTAGCAAAGGAAGCTATCCACGTCTCTACCTCACCCCCTCCCATAAATAGAAACCCTTTTAAACCACAAAAATGTCCTGACTTATCTCCTATCAGAGAGCAGTATTAGGGAACTAGACAAGGGTCTCGGACTGGTGGAGGTACAAATGGCCCTACCCTCTGCCACTTGAAGACCAAGTCCCACCCTTTGAGCCATAGTAAACAATAATTTAAAGACTGATTTCCTCATAGATACTGGAGCACAACTATTCATGATTAAAGCAGAATGATGTCCTGGAGCTATCCCTCTGAAACATCAGAAAATATTAGTAACCCGAGTAAGTGGAGCAGCGGTTCCTTATTGAATTTTTAAGGTAAAACTGGAACTTCCCTTTTGCCTTACCCTGCCCCCCAAAATAGCAAATGCAACTAGGAAACTTATTTGGCACGGATATTCTGTGAGCTGGATACAGGGCAACACTAACTGGGCTATAGAATCAACTGATGAAGAAACAATGCCAGGACTCCAGCCAGGAGGTCACCTTTGGCTAGGAAATAAGTCCCCTGGTCCACTTGGCAAATTGATTATGTTGGACCTCTCCCTCAAACACCCGAGGGGTGGCATTACATCCTTACTGGAGCTGAAATAATATCAGGCTTAGGGAAAGTTTTTGCTTGCCAGTAAGCTGATGGTCTTACCACTGTGGCAGAATTTAATCAATGGTTTGCTGACACTCCCATGCCCTCTGCTGTGCAGTCTGACAACGGCACTTATTTTAAAAAAAATAAAAATTCCAGGAATGGTGTTGCCTGGGTGTTTCACCTGTCCTACAGACCCCAAAGTAATGGCACAGTCGAGAAGTGGAATGACCTACTGAAATGAGCTCTAGGGCAAAGTTTATATACAGGAAAATGGGGTAAAGCCCCACCTAAGGCTGTTAGACTCTTAAATAACTGGCAGACACCCACTAGATGCCCGCTGGAACAAGAAAACTGTTTCTAAATGGGGACTCCCTCTAGCTTTCACTGAGGCTTAGTGCCGTTATCATTCTGCCAAGGATCCCCAAAAGAACCTGTCTGTCCCCCCAGTATTGGGTGACAGCTGCATGGCAGGCAAATACATTTCTGCTATAAAATAAAGGAATTTGACCTGACTGCTCCAAACTCTACAGAGACGCCTTATAAAAGACATGACTAGTGAGACTGGTTTTGGGTACCAGGCTGAAATAGATGTATAAATGATTGTGGGCTTGAAGAATTAAATCCAAAGCCAAACTGACGGAACTAGATGAAGAACAAGAAATTTAGAAAACTTCCCATTTCCTTTGAGAAGTCAATTATTGAAAACAAACATGACTGACCTGAGGCAAGGACTTGTCCCCACAAGCATGCATTTTCAGTTTCATTAATGCCACTTTTGCTGCTGTCTCACTGTTTTTTGCTCCTTTGCGTTTTTTGCTTTTTGCTTCCTCATTTTTTTTAGAATCTGAGAACAATATTATTACTGTTAGTGTGATGATTCAGACTGTCTCCTGAACGTATCTTGGAATTAGTCTATTGGGCCTCACTATATCTCCAGGGTTCCCATCCCTTTCCTGTCCCTCTCATGTCCTCCCAAGGCCATATCAGGTACTCCTGTTCAAGAATATTTGGAATTGTTACAGTTCTAGCAGAACTTCTTTACACTGAAAAGGAGGTAAACACTATCATGAGGTTAACACAGGTTGCAAAAGCCAAAGAGATAAAAATTCCTAAGTTTCCACACCTGTGGCCATCACAGCATTCATATGGCAACAGTTTCAGGTCCTCCTTTCTACACATAACCCCACTGTCCAGTTAGGCAGTGCTGTTTATTCTCTTTCCTGTCCGACAGCTTGTTTAAAAGCTGCAAAACATTACTTTGTAGACTCATGTTTTTTTGCCATCTTAGTTGCATAGGTATAATCCCAGCAGATTGGCATACGCACCCAATACAATAGAGTTGCATTATTTGCACATGAATTAATAAGGAAATAATAATGGCTAGGTACAATTCATTACATTATAGTACTTGTAGAATGAAAACAAGACAATAATTCTGAAAGAAACCTGAGCCCTATTTAATCTTTAAAAATTTTCTTTATAGACATATGCTACTGTTGTCTCAGTCTAGATGAACATTATTACATGCTGACATGTGAGTTTAGGGCTATTTAAACAAGGAACCCCCACTCTTTCTTCTTATTTGGTCAAACCTGAACCCTCAGAAAACAGCCTTCTGAAGAAATTGTAGAATATATACCCCACTGTACTTGCCTGTAATATGTTTAACTAGCTGCTGGGTGGCAGCCATTCGAGGTTTTGGTGTGTCCAGTTTCTCACATTCATGGTCTGATTGATGCCGGTGTCTGTAAACAACAGTGTAAAACTTTTATTACCTTTTCCATACACTAATGAATGAGTATTGATGTTTAAACACTCTGTTCCACTCACCTTAGACAGAAATGTTTTTCGCAGTAAGGACATAAAACTGGCAAAAGCTCCTTTCTGTTGCAGTCCTTGTATGAGCATGGGTAAGATCTGTGCTGATCTGGTTTCACAGAATTGTTTTTTATATTCACCTAGGCATTAATATAAAATGTTTTGTGTAAATAAACAGATATTACAGATACAAGTCACCACCCCATCTTTCCAGAAGAACTGTGCTAGCTCTCTGTTCTGTGGGCAAAACCAGTCCAGTGATTCTCTCCTACTTTTGTCCTGGTTAAGTTTAGCTCAAAGTTAGAAAAACAACCATCGTCCTACTCAAATTCAATTTACTTCTGACAGGCAGAAAAAGATAGATTCATTTTTTTAAGCTTGTCAAATTCTCAGTTAAATAATTCATACTTATATACTACATGTATATATCTAATCTGAAAATATACAGTTAGGTTGCACGGAATTTTAATTTTAAGGTAGTCACATATTATTAGATTACCTCAGAACATCCATGAGCATCCCGGCTCCTGTGCTGAAGGCTTTGTGGCAAAAGAAGGAAATATCACACCGTTATCAACATTTCAGGAAAAGAAAACTGCATGTGAAAACATTTAAGTGTTTAAAGAGTGCTCTGACAAGTTTTATTATGGGAGCATTTCAATTAAATAATGAATCTTCTCCAAAATTTCTTCTAACCTATGCATTTCACGTAGTGAATGGATTGATCATATTCTTCCTGAGTATGTAAAACATTTAGCCCTTGGAACTTACACTCCAAGATAACAAACCATTTCAAGAGAATAAGAACATTAGCATGCTTAAGAATTCAGGTCAAATGAACTGGAGTTTGTCTGTTTTAATGGATTCTGAATCACCTTCCACAGCAGCAGAAATCCCTTGAAAGCTTCTAACGTGTTAAAGTAAAATCTGCCCTCAGTTTATCTGATCTTATCTCAGCTGCCCTCTGCTAATCTGAAGTGTAAATCAAAGTGCAGGCCCTGATTTGAACCTTGGAAGAAACTTCAAGTTTTTTCCACAAGAAAAATACCACCCCTCCCCCTGCCCCCCAAATCAGTGCAAAACAGGGTCTAGCTAGATGCCTTCCAAAACAATCTACCTGTATTCTAGAGATATTTCCACTGATTTCAAAGCTCCACAACAGCTGCTTGGGAAAAATGTGGCAAGTTCAATGAAAGAATTATTTTTTAACTAAATGTATCTGAACTAAGTCACAGAATGTTTTATACAACATTTAAGTCTACACAACTGTCACACTGCAACCTTATAGGAAAACCAACTTAATGTCCTTTTATGACAAGGTCACCCATCTAGTTGACCTAGGGAAGCCAGTAGATGTGGTGGGTTTGGGTATTAGAAAAGCTTTTGATATTGTCTCTCACAGTGTCCTTCTAGACAAAATGTCCAGCACACAGCTAGACAAGTCCATAATACGATGTGTGAGCAATTGGCTGATGGGTTGGGCTCAAAGAGTTATATAGTAAATGGGGTTACATCAGGCTGGTGGCCAATCACCAGTGGGGTTCCCCAGGGCTCCATTTTAGGTCCACTGTTCTTTGTGTTTTTATAAGTGATCTGGACACAGGAATCAAATATACATTAAGTAAGTTTGCTGACGATTACTAAACTAGGAAGACCTGTGGACTACCTCAAGGGTAGAGGCCTTACAGAGAGATCTGGGTAGACTAGAGAGCTGGGCAGCCACTAACTGCATGAAATTTCACAAGAGCAAGTGGAAGATTCTCCACCTGGGACGGGGTAATCCTGGTTATACATACAAACTGGGGGATGAGAGGCTGGAGCGCAGCCCTGCGGAGAGAGGTCTGGGGGTTTGGGTTGATGGAAAGTTGACTATGAGTCAACAGTGTGCCAAAAGGGCCAACCACACCCTAGCACAGCATAGCTGGCCGGTCAAGGGAGGTGATTGTCCAACTCTACTTTGTACTGGTGCAACCCCACTTCGAGTACTGTGTGCAGTTTTGGGTGCCTCAGTGTAAGGAGGGCATGAAAGTATTACGTTGTGTCCCAAGGAGGGCGGACCAAGATGGTGAAAGGCCTCGAGGGCAAGACTTACGAGGAGTGGCTGAGGTCACTTAGTTTGTTCAGCTTGGAAAAGAGAAGGCTGAGAGGTGACCTCATTGCAGTCTACAACTTCCTCAAGGGGGGCAGTGGAGGGGGAGGTGCTGATCTCTATCTGGTGACCAGAGACAGGACACGAGGACATGGAATGAAGCTGTGTCAGGGGAAGTTCAGATTGAACATCAGGAAAAGGTTCTTCACTGAGACCGTGGTTGGTCACTCAAACAGGCTCCCCAGGGAAGCGGTCAGGGCACCAAGCCTGTCAGAGTTCAAGGAGCATCTGGACAATGTTCTAAGTCATTTGATTTAGTTTTAGGTAGTCGGGCGAGGAGCAGAGAGCTGGACTCGATGATCCTTATGTGTCCCTTCCAACTCGAGATACTCTATGATTCTATGAACTTACCAAAAGACACCTGAACAGCCATCACATACAAAGGGGAGAAAATCTGAAACAGAGATTTATTTTCAGTTAGGCAACATGGTCCTTTTTTGGGGGAGAAAATCTGAAACAGAGATTTGTTTTCAGTTAGGCAACATGGTCTTTTTTTTTGTTTCTAGCTTAATTTTTACATGATTTAACTTTTGCTTACCTATATCATGGGGTAGGTGTCTTTACAAGGACACTTAGCAGCTGCATCTACAGCTTAGCTACTACTTAGCTTAGCTACTTAGCAGCTGTATCTAGAAGTGGCTTTTGTAACACAGTTACACTTAACTCCCCTAGCTAGTATTACTGAAAAGCATATGAGTAGGTAAATTATATACATTCCAAAAGTTGGAATGATGCTTTAAATTAAACTTTTTTCGATATCAACTTTGAGACTAGAACATTTGGCGAGCCATCAAACTTGCCAGTTGCGCTAAAAATTGAATTTGTTACGAGACCACTCAGAACGCCACGGACCGACGGCCGGAGCAGTCCTTCCCCCCCCCAGGGGGAGGCACCCCCTCACC